AAATTACTCAGCCATATTTGTCAGTTTAACACCATCAGGCTGCTCTGTCAGCTAGCTGCACTCATACCTTGCTTTGTTGTCCTGCTCTGCAGCTTTTACTTCTTCCACTTGTTTAGCAGACAAGGAGGCTGTTGCTGAAACAGGCAAGAGAGCTTCTCCTGTACAATGACTGGTGCCATTAATATATTAATGGGGGTAAATTCAATTTGGTGTCACTTGAGCTGATGGAGACATTGCAATATGTCCCTTACAGAGATTAGTATCAGGTTCTGATCACATATAACCATGCTAACTTATCAGCTATTAATACAGCTCTGAGTTAGCAATGCTAAAAAGTAGGTGTGCTGTTATTTAAATATTGGTTGTTGAAGTCCCATTTATTTCAACCTGTATGTTTTCTGAAATTTGTTTGAGGAGAAGTGAATGTCAAATACCGCACTTCATTTTCATGTTTGCAGGTTGTTACTGGTATAATTCTGCTTTGCTGGAAATAGATTTTAAAAGGTTTCACCTGTATTTAGCTGGGGAAGAAGAAGTTCCCATCTCAAAACCATCTTTTTTTTTCTTATGTTTTTTACTAAACACTCTGCTCAAAATTCCTTTCTAAAAAATAAGAAACCCTTCCTGACACATTGTCACAGTTGAATTCTGATTTCTGTGACTTGATAAAACTACAGTTGGTTTCTTCTATTAGAATACTAGAGCTGCATAGAGATGTTGCAGCTTGTTTGGGCTTTGGAAGCCTTTCTCTTCTTTTTTTATTCCCCCTGCACATGGAGCATTACACAGTGGGGCTGCAGTTGCCCGTCTAGGGCCTCTACTGCCTACCACAATATGAGTAACTGTTCTTGCATATTTGTGACACAGTCTGTGATTAAAAAAAAAAAAAATTGGCAATAATTACAAGGAACAAGAATGTGCAAACTAAGTCAGGACCAAATATTTCTGTTGGTATGTTGACAATAGCAAGTACTGATGGATATAATTTTGGATGTGAAAACTAAATGTCTATTTTGACAAGTCAAACATGAGTAGACTTTTGGATCAAATAGTGTTGGATCACACTAAAATTTTGATGAAAACAGTAATCTATAGACCAAAATAACCTGCAGACTGCTGTCTTCTCCTAAGAGGCATCAAAAATATGTTTTGATACTGCACTTGCTATTTTGAAAAGTGATTGGAGTATACTACTAAATGAAAATCTTTTCTTTCTCAGTCTTTCTGTGGGCTGTTTTTTTGCCTTGACAGTTGGTGTAATTAGTGTCAGCCATGATTGGTCTTTCCAAGAAACTGCATCTTCCTCAGTTATTTTCTCATGGCTTATAATCACCTTAAAACTTGCAATTCTGTATTACATCATATTCTTATGCCTCTTTGCTGCACGATTGCTGCAGAAGTAAAAATTGAATTAGTTTAATTAAAATTTTTCTTCTTTAAAAGCATTATTAAGTTTTGTTAGTAAACAGCTGAAGTTTGTTGGAACATGTTGGATTTTGAACTAAGATGGTTGTAGAAAACATCATGTCTCACATGTAATACTTATTACTGTCCTAATCACATTAATGCACTAGACTTCTATGTTTAATTTTAGAAAAACTAAATTAGTTTGGACAATTTTTTTATTTAGTTTTCTCAAAGTTGTTAAGAAACCCTCTGCTATAGGTCACCTTTGACTGGAATGTTTAGGATTTGAACATTTTTGACAGTTCATTTGTGTAGTTAGTCTGGTGACAAGTTCTGCATCTTAAGTGTTCACCAATAATGATGAAACAGGCAGCTTTAACATTAAAATACGAACATAACCTAAAATTTCTGTTGGTTTTGTTGTTTCCTGTGCTTTGCTCTTTGCCTTAAAGTCCATATAATTCTTCCCCAGACCTCCCATGCTGTTAAATGTATGGGTAGAATGGTAGCTTCCAAGCAGGTCACTCACCCCTAAAGAAAACACTTTCAGGTCATGTCATATAACCTGTATTATAAGAACAGCTGTGAGTAAGATTCTAAAAATGAGTATCCTGATCTTTTTACATGGGTTTTTTTGATGTTTTGTATTGGGTTTTTAGATCACAGACAGAGAGTTGTCATTATGATATTAATACAATGATCTCTTTTTTTTTTTTTTCCTTAATAGATAAAAAAGTATTTTGAACTTGAGCCACTTGCACGTGGAAAGCGCTGGATTCTTAAACCCTGCTCCTTGGATGATATGGAGGCAGTAAAAGACAGCTTCTCCCTTCTAATAAACTTACTAGAAGAGAGAGACTTCGAACCTTCCAGAATGTGAAATGCAAGAGAGAAGAGTGATTGTCCGGGCATCACTGTACCTGCATGTTCTGCTCACAGCTTAATTATGGTGTGGTATCAAGACAGTGCTGTGATATGTTGTTCATACACAGTTAGTGCAGAATGTCCTTTTGTTAAATATTCTGTGAATCAGGTACACAACTATTTCCGGTAAAGTTGTCTACACTACTGAAATAGGGAGTTCCTCTTTGTTTACCACTATTTCTGCACAGTGCATGTTGCTTTCTTGCATTGCAATCATCCTTAATAGGAAATTTTACACGCACAAAAATAACATAGTCTGTAAAGGAGGAATTCTACCTGCTAGTTTGTTTTTTAAAAAATAACTAATGTCTTAAGGACTTGTGAGACTAATTTGTATTAGCTTGTTTACTGACCCCTCAGTATGGAAAGCACAGCCACTAATAACCTTAATGGGGATACCTTAAAGGCAAGTAGTTTCATGTTAATGGAAGGGTTAGTCCTGAAGTTTTACTAAGTGAAAACACAGTTGACAAGTTAGTTGATTCTTCTTCTAAAGTCATAGCATAACTTTGTCAAAGGCAGAACAGTTATTTTGCTTGAAGTTTCCTGAAAGGTAAATTAACAAACAGATGTGTGCTGATAACAGTATTTGGGAAAAATAAGTGACATAAACAGGTGGTCTAAATATTTTTAGAAAATATACAAAAGTTGGATAAAGCAATAATTTTCTTTTAAAGTAGTTTTCCATAACAGAAGCGAAGTAAATATCTGTTAATTCAGCTGTGGAGTCTTTATTACTAGTTAGAAGTGTGACTGATTTTAAATAAGGATTGCTTCCTTTATCACTCAATCATAGAGTACTACTGTTATCATAACATTGCCAAGGCATCTATACCATAATTAAGGGCCTTCCAGTGTTTGTACTATAAGCTTCTCTTTTAAGGGGATTATAATGTTCTTTCAAACTTTCTCTGGGCCAAATGTTACTTAGAAGACAAAAAAGCATTCATTGGAAACAACATTTGCAATGCATTTGGAAAAATCCCATTTGGTTCCCGTAACACAGTGCATATTTCCTCTTTCCAAGTTTTCCCCATTGTAGGTTTGCAGTTTTTTGGCTGCCTTCTGTTGATTTTTTAAAATCTCATAATCTGATTTTGTCCATTAAATAAACATGCCAGGTCTCTGGTTCACCATTAAGTCAGTCACAAGAGGGTATGTGCAAATCCGTCACTGGACTAGTGCACACCTTGAATGTTGTGCCTTGTGCATTCAGCTACCCTCATGCATGAGTGTCTGCAAACACAAACTGTAGTGATGTGTCAGTGGTTTTTCATTGATTGTGCTTGTGTTTTGGAACTTGTTACTCCTTTTTTCAGGGCTTTAAGCAACATATCTTTCCACTCTGAGCATTTTTTTTTTTTTTTTTTAGTTTGAAGTTTATTGTAGTTTCTCACTAGTTTATTTGGGAATAAGAAAATAGCAAGGACAGCTTTTAAAGGCTTATAAAAGCCATTTCTCTCTTACTTGCAGTTATACTCTTTGTTAAACAAAATTATTTCTAATAGGTTTTTTGTTTAGGTTTCAGTTTCCTCAGATTTCTTGCATTACTCTGTCAGAATTATTTCTGCTGAAATGCATGGCCTGATGATCACTGTTTTAACTTGCTTCCTATTACCAGAAAGAAGCTGCAAAATCTGATAATCTCCTTGTTTAATTTTGTGATAGAATAGGCTGAAAGCCTGAAGGGAATCTCTTCTTGCTTTGTATTTCACCTCATTCCTGCCAGGTCAATTGCCTAACTCCTAATACTCTTGGCAATACTCAAGAACTGGAATTGTTAATTTTAAAACACAGAGTGGAGCCCTATGTTGGTTTGGTTCTCCGCACAGTTGAGATGGAACCCAACTGCTAGTCGGTCTCTCTCATGTAGGTTAAGGAGGCTCCTTTCCCTGCATTTAAAGAGGAACTGGATCTAATTTACAGTTCTGAACTCGTCTTTTAGCTGATGTGAGCTTAGAGGCTACAGAGTCCCCAGATTTCCACAAGGTCCCCAGATTTCTGTCCTGTTTAGGGACAATGACAAATAAGTGGAGGGGAGGAGTGAGATAATTACTTCCCAGAGAAGGCAGGCAGCTTGGGGAAGCAAAAAGAGGGATTCATAGTTTTTACTGTTTTTCATTGAGCGTTAGTCAGAAGATGAGAGATATAATTTTTTAACTGTTTTTTCCCCTTCTTTCCCATATTAAAGTTGTGGACCAAAAGCTACAGCACATGAAAGTAAGCCCAACTATATTACATTCTCAAAACCATACTTATATGTACCATGAGTGAGTTTGGTTCAAAAACTTTTAGAATTTCTATGTTACATTTTGGTCATGATTTCCCAACTATGCACTGTTGGAAGGTGCTACATGACTAACATGCAGAAGTCCAAATAGTCAATGAGAATATGGCTAGACTAGGACATTTTGATGCTTAGTGTTTTTCTTTAGGAAAATGCCAGCTGCACACAGGAGCAGTGATTTTTTTTTTTTAGAATGATTTTAAATATGCTTTTTCTTACTAATACAGTGATCATTCCTCACCACAGGTTGAAACAATACCTCATAACTGCTTAAGGCTAAGACCAATGCTTAACTTTACTTTGAATGTAGTTCTGTGGTTTTGTGTTGTGGATGGACTTAACGGATATGTACCTTTTTAATGTCTATAAACACCTTCACCTTTTTATGGGGGAATTAAAAATGTTCATAGCAGCTCACGTAGTAATTCCATGTCTAAAGTGTTGTTGAATGCTCTGGCTATGGTAGAATTTGTAAGCACCATGCAGTTTTTATTGAGATGACCAATCTCGATTGTTTCTTTCTTTTTTCTTTTTTTTAAGTCTTTTCACATGTGTTCATCATTTAGGTGAAATAAACTTGGACACCAGGCTCTACTTCCCATGCAAGTTCATTAAGGAGTGAACATTGTCTTTTTAAAAAAGATACTGTGCTTTAAGTGTTCTTTAGCCATCTGTTAAATCACTTTGTGTGTGTATGTGTGTGTATGTGTATGTGCCCACATTGGGCTTCTTCTCAGACTTGTGGCTGTCTGCAGTGTCTCAGCCGTCAGAATGAAAACATTATCAATCAGTATCCAACAACAGCTGGTTTTGACAAGCTTCTGTCTGCTGCCTAATGCTTTACAACTTGTCAGTAAGACTTCTTTGTCTACCCGCTCTAAGCTGGTAATCTTACTGCTTCCATGTTGTGTCCTGTACTTGTACTTCTAGCATTTGTATGGAAAAAAGTTAAATCTTAGTGGGTTTTGGTATTCTTTCTTGCTGTATAATGCTCCATGTGTATCTTAGCTTGCCTCTTCAAATGTGCTATACAAAAATCTGTGATGTATTATTTCATTTAACTTCTTGCATTTCATTATATTTATAGAAGTTGCAGATTTTTGTACCATATTAGTTAATACAGTTGCCTTTTTGTAATGGCAATTAATTTATATTACAAAAGTTTGTATCTTTACTGTAGTAGAAAGTATTAGTTAACTGCCATATTATCTTGACTTTATACTAAAAATACCGTGTCTATACACAGAAGTTGACCCATTCAAGTGGACAACTGCTGACATGAGGAACTTGTACTGTTTGTGATTTATACATGATTTCCAATATCAAAAAAGAAAAAAAAAAGAAAAAAAGAGAAAATAAACACTGTGTAGAGTTGAGTTGCTAAGTTTGGATTTCTTGGAGTAGCCAGTTTGGGAGTATGGCATATTACCTTCATTTGGAATCTTCAAGATAAATTATTTACTCATAGATGAAAACAAATATTACTGTTATTATCATTGCTAACTTATACATAGTTACACATTTTCACACATGTATATAAAAAATAGAAACTTCCAAAAATTGTCTGATTTATTTCCACAGCAAGATGTTGTTACTTTGGAAATACATCTGAAATATATTGCAGGTTTTATTCCAAAGACATTGGAATACTCCATACAATTACTCCATAATGTTGAACTGAAGGACATGTTTATATAACTAAAAGTTATTTTAAAATAAAGTGACATGGCAAAGTACATATACCAAAAAGAAACTACAGAAGTTGAGCAAAGGAAAATACTGGGAGAAAAATAAAAGGTTGCTGAGACAACTCCGTGTTATCCTATCAAACATTTGAGTAGAAGAGACTCTCACAATGCAGTTTCTGACAGCTGATGGAAGTAAACCACTGCTGAGCCAGGCTGGATTTGTGGATTCAGCTCAAGAGGTATGCTTTTTTCATTTTACTATTTTTAAATCTGCCTCTTACCAAGACTGGGATGGAAATCAAAGATTTGTAAACTCGGAATATTTTTTTAGTGCTTTTGTTTCATATAAATAGGAACTGAAAATCTGCTAATCATGTGTCATTTGACAGCTCTTGAAAGAATTTTCATTAGCTCATTAGCCCTTTGACCTAATAGTTCAAACAAATAAAAACATCTGTTTGTGTCAGCTGTAGGGTTAGTCATCCAGGGCCTAGGTTAACACAAGGACAAGAAAGAATCCCATATCCTACACGAAAACAAAAACCATACAAAGGTATCTGTATCTGTAGTTGAAAAAGACCCCTGAAATCAAGTAGAGCTCCTGAATTCTGTTAAATGAAGAGACTGAACAGGACCATTACCCTTAATCCTCAGCACTCATGGGTGAACTGCCTAAATTAATTGTGTGGGTTGGACTAAAGATCAGGTCTGATTTAACTAGTTCTGAGACATATATGCTTAATGCTAGCTGCTTATAATGTATTTTAGCTTTTATCAGAGATATATTTACAGAAGCCAAAGTCTGCAGTATATACTGCTTGTTCATTCACCAGATTTCACAGGAAATTGTAAGATGTGGTATTCTGCTGGGTTTTGATGGAATATATTCAGGACAGCCTTGTTTGGGGAGTGTATGTTCATCAAGCAGGTTCAGCACTTCCATTTATGATGTCTTAAATATGCCTTAATTTTTTAATCACTGAAACTGTCTAGAAAAGGTGGATACTCAAATGTGAATATTGGTGCTAGCAGTAGTCTGTGCAGCTCCCATTTATCTGTGACAATAAGGTGGGACAATAAAAGGGCGATTTTAATAATCTGGTTATCAGTTTTACAGTAAACCCAACAAAAATGTTTTGCAAAAGGTCCTGTGCTGGTTTGGGATGCTTTTGGAAAATTAAGAGTTGAGGGTGTGAAGAGGAGGAATGACATAATCCACGTCCAACCATATTACTGTGTTAGGAATAGAGCAACTCATTGCCTGAAAATAGCCTGGGTTTGGTAAAGACCATATTTATAATGAAAAGCTGTTGTATAGTTAATTTTTAAGCACAGAAACATTTTGTCACACATGAAATATCTATACATATATTGAGAAGCTGTCCACATGCTAATAAGACACATGAATTGCACCTATTATGCTTGTGTGCAATATAAAGCCATTCATAATTATTTTTTTGGGGATTCTCAGTATTAGATTGTGCGCTGAACTGACAAAAAATAAAACCAGCAATCACAGCACTTCTTTTTTACCTGTCGCCTTGAAATAGTGAAATGCTGTTGTTCATTTTTATTACTATGCCTTGTAACTATAATTTATTGCAATTCAGTGTGCACTGGAAAGTATTTGCATGTATTAAATAGAACAAGACAAAAATAAATCCTTCTGTGGTTTGGCAACTTCCATGTATGAAGAACTGCCCTCTTTCTAAGGAGACATTTACCACTGAAGTACAAAAGCTTCATATTATAGCTTTGTTATAAATTACTGCTAACTGAAATGCTAAATCATGGAAATCCCAAACAAAAGATCTGGTACTGTTTAGGTACATAGTCCCAAAGATAGTGTGGAGGAGAGACCAAAATCGTGACTTGCCTATGCATGTTGCAAAACCAAACCAAGTTTAATGGCCAATCACACAGCAAAGTATTTGGTATTTTAACAATGTGACAGTCTTGGATTTGGAAGGTTGATAGATTTCACAGGATCAAAAGGGCATTTTGTAAAAATTTTAATTTTATGGTAGGTTACATTTTGGGCCTGTCAACTTTGAAATGGTCCCTTTAAAGAACAATTCCTGCTGTGTGTTAAGGTTGGTAGTCTAAAAATTTATTCTATAGAAATGAATCCATTCTCTGTTCTGTTTGCGCATGCTAAAACAGCATTTTTTGTCGTATGTCACCTTATCTCATTTACTTGAAAGACATATCCATTTTCTGCTAATACTCATCTGCTGTTTTGTAAGCAAAAGCTTCATGTACATCTCATAGTAGACTTTGTGTGCTACCATATCCTCAGAGAAGCTTATACACCCAAATTACAGTAATACTGTGTACCTTTCAAAGACCCCATTTCTGTGGATTTTTAATGCTTATAACACAAGTGTCTATTTTCAAAACTACATCAGAATTATTTTATTATAACATTCCCATGTGTGGTGTCTTTGTAAGACCTAGAGATTCAAGATGTGAATGGGAATGTACCATTTAAAATTAACACTGATAAAATGCAGTATCTGGAAAACTGCTTTCTTTTTTATTTAACAGTGGAATGAACAATGCAATCTCCACATTGCCTCAATATTTATCTTGCTGCAGAGAAGAAATGAGCACACATTGTCAATAATGTAAATTACAACAACTTTAGTCCATCTTTATTTAATTGCTTTGTTTGCCAATGCAATACTGTAATCCTCTCAGCTTTACACATGGGTGTCTGTTAAAGTTGAAAACCTTCCTTCAAATATCTGAAACTAAGGTTAATTTTTTTAAAAAAATAAGCTAATTGCCTATTCTAAAAATACTTTTGTACATGATTTGCAGGAGTGTGACTGATGCAGAAGAGATTACTGTTTACCTTTAAAATATAGAGCATGACCTTTTGGTTACAGTAAATACAGTACTTCAAGTCTGGTAAAGTCATCACATATACTAAAGGTATTGAGACCATTTACCTCACATTCCTCCCTATTAGCTTCCACAATTAACATGATCCACAGCTGAAAAAATAATTCTAGTTGTCAGTGATAAATGGGGTGAAATCGTCAATCACTGAAGTAGACAGTATTATTTTTAAAAGATATTGCAAACAAATGTTTACCCAAAGATAGCAGTAGGTTGCTGAGATTTTGTTCCTTGGGGTCCTCTCATTTCATTCACACAGCAAGCTGATTTCAGTGCTCACTTTCAGACTAGAGAGGGGTTTTTTTTGGTTTTTTTTTTTCCTGTATCAGGAAGAGTACCAAACACTCGAACACCTTAGCAGAATCAGGAACATTTCTGGAAACCCGCTTGAGATCTAAGACAGAAATTTAGCTTTTTGTTTGTTTTCTTGGTATGATGTGCAGACCTGAGGTTTTGGTTCAGGTCTGTCTCCACTGAGAGGTGCCAGTGATACAGAAGTCTACTGTTATGGGCTATATAAATATCTTGTCTAGTTTTAGTGCTTTTGATCTCTGACAAATTTTAATATCAAGGTCAACTATTGTATGGTGGTTTCATATGTAGATATATTGGTGACCTAGACATTAAAGAAAATGCATACAGTGTCTGTAGAGAGGAAATCTTGATTTTTTTCCATTCTCAGTGCTGAGGAGAAATCATCCATAAAAGTGCTTTGGGACAGTGAATCTTATTGTGGTTGCTTGTGAGGGATTCAGCGGGCAGTTTGGCCTTTACGTTTGGGTCAAATCAAATGGAAGAGAAACTGTTTCTTCTTTTAAGTTTGGCTTTTTACACCACCTGGGTACTGGTGATTAGCATGTTCTCAAGCACTTTATCTGTGAGAACCACTTCACATCTAACCTGATTAAGGCCTGAAGGAGATGGCCAGTACTAAACAATGTTTGCAGTTACTGATTTGATCTTTTAATTCCTCCCTGCATGTAAGATTTAGAAAAATCCTCAGTGTTCACACATATTTCTCCTGCATCATGCGAGTGTGCCCTTGGAGTGATTGTTGAGGCAGATCTGGAGTTCCCCTTGCACTCAAAAGGATCAGTTCATTCCCATTTGTCTCCAGATGAAATGCAGTGTTGTGGACCCTGTCCACCAGAGTGTGCATAAAGACCCATTTCTCAGTGTCTTTTGCATTTCCATATTTGCATATTTTGGAGGGGAACTCTGGTTCATGCAATAACTGTTCTTTGATGATGGGTTTATCTTTTAGTAAAGCAGGGGCTATTACAGGAGAACTAGCTCTGAGGTGCTATTACTAATATTACAGGTTATAATGCAAATAGTAACTAGAAAATGTAACTGTTAGTCAATGGGCTTGAGTATAACTAAAAGCCAAGATTAAGTGTGTCCTGGTTCAGCTGACTGATGCTGAAAATGGATTCTCAACTGTTAATCTTGGAATTAAATCAGAAAAAGTTGCCAAGAATAGACATTTTCCAGGTCAGCAAGAGGGATGCAGGTTAGACCAGTGTAATCAGAGATATGGGCCACCATTGCAAATGGCACCGAGACCTCTGTCTCAGTGGAACTCTGTCTCAGGAAACCAGAGATAGCCCTCTGCCTAAACCTGTGATCTGTAGGCCATAAGATATTTAACATGTCACCACAGAACTGAGGGAAGATGCCAGTGTGAGAAGATACTGATAGCAGCTCTACTTCACCAGGCCACACTGACCCACATCTTCCTCCAGAGAGGAATTCAAATGCCCGGCAGCCACTGTCCCAGGAGATCCCACTGCTCACCAGCTGTGTGCCTCTACTATGAGAGCCTTGCCTAACTTGTTATGAACTGCATGGAGATCAAGAGCCACAAGCCAGCCATGCCTGGCTTACTGACATAAGCATTTTTCAAGACGAAAGAAATACCGAGATGGGAAAATCGGTAACGGTGGCATGCCTCCACACCTGTCATGCTGTGTTACAATTTCAGTCTTTGATTGTTGGTCCCATAAAGGTATTGTTTTTTTCATGTTATTAAAGCAATTACAGTTATTATACTAAATTTGTCCTTTCTGAAGGGAGCAAGAACAAATGAGGGAGGATTTGCATACAAATTGAGCCTGGATGTGGGGGGAAGTCACAGCAGGCCCACTCAGCAGACAGATGAGGTGATGAGGAGAAATTATAAAGGAGCAGAGGCCAGAGCCACCCTATTTTGCAGTCCTTTTCTTGGTGACCCTTTGAGGAATGTCTCCCACCTGTCTGGCAGATTCATTTGAATGAGGGTGTTTGTCACACAGTCATCCCAGGCAGATCAAAGCCCTCTCCTCAGTGAGCCAGAGGAGATGTGGAAGGCCTCCCCTCCCCTGGGCAAGGCCTCTCCCAGCCACCACTCAGACCTCTCTACTGCTTCTCTCGGAGGAGTCCCCCAGTGTAATAGCAACACCCTGTGCTTCCATGTGTACCAGCTTGCCTCAGCAGCAGGAGCACCTGCACCTGAACATGGCAGTGTTCCCCCTGGAGCTGCCAAGCCAGGCTCCCAGGCAGCTGCAGCAGGGCTGTGGCAAGTGTCGCATCCCAGAAGAGATGCCAAGTTGCCAGTGCAGATGTTTGTAGTTTAGAGGAGCAAGGCACGGCGGACAGTAGGTTTAAAAGCTAGTTGATATGGTAACAGAGTTGGATTTTGGACATGGGAAACCATTTGCAATGTCCCAGTTCCCACCCCAGTTGGATTTCCTTATACAAGGTTACCCTTGTGTGTCTAAGGACAGAGGGTGTTTCTTGCTCACAAAAATGCTATCAAAAACTTAGGAGATATATTAATTTTTTTCCTGGGACTGATTTTTATGCCCCAATTCCCATGAAGATCAGTGGCATGAAGCAAACACAAGCATGTGGCCATTTCCCAGGACTCAATAAGCTCAGAGCTCACATATTGTAACCTACAGCACTACAATTGCTGGAAAGTCCCTTCTCACCAGCATCCTGAAGCAATACAGCCTTCTGACTTCAAAAGAGAGCATAGGTAAAGGGGGAAAACACAGGTGAGAACAATGAATTCTTAAATTTTAGTCCTGTCTCCAGACCTTGTTTCCTTGATTCTCTGAGCCTATCCATGGATGTGATACTGTTTTGCTGCTGCTTTGAACTGGGTTTTTTGGGGGCATTAACTTCTATGAAGTGTTCAAGTACACCAGAATGTGGGATTTTCTGGTGGCTATGGCTCTCATGCCTTTACTGGCATGTAAAGATATAGCCTATAACCTTAGTGCAGGCCAGCTTCCACCCAGAGATGTAGAGAGAAGTTTCTAAGTAATTCAGGTATTCCACAGCTGCCTCTTTTAAAGAGAAACTGCTGGGTAATATGGAAACTAGAAGTTTTACCGCTTCAAGTAATAAACTTTGGGAAAGTTTATGATCTGGTTTAAATGTTGAAAATTGACCCCTTTGTTAGGTTTGGACTAGTTTCAGCCCAGCAAGCCTGTTAGTGAGTAATTGTATAAAATAATTTTGAGGTATCACTAATATCTGAATAGTGTACCTGCAAAATACATTACTTGCAAATGAACCTTTGCATCATTATGTTGTCCTCACTGACACAGCCCTGGAACATGCTGTTTAAATAAGGAAGGATGCTGTTGTACTTTATTAATAATGTCATTTGATGCTAGATGAGATGCTTTGAATTCCTATAGATGTAAAAAAAATGCAGTCTGTTTCTCTTTTTTAGGAAAAATATTGGGTTTGCAGTTGTTTTTATAAGTGGAAGAGTATTCTGAAGTAGTGTATCTTCATGGGTCAGCATTTTCAGCTATATTATAGGGTGAGAAGCAAGTTGCTTTCCTGACTTAACATTTACAACTCTAGAATATCACAGTTGGTAAAGGTATGTTGCATTGTTCATTAAAATTAAATTGGCAAAAGCCTGTCTGCTTAAAGGTACATATTACTTTCTAAAAAGTCTTTAACAGTAACAAGTGTAGCAGACATCCTAAATTAGAACATGCAAATGATGTTGGATCATCTTAATTATTTTGAAGAGTTCTCTGTTTCAATGTCAGACCTGTTTAAACTGTAAAAGAGTAACTGGTTATAAAGTATGAGCTACCAGAATCATGGCTGTTGCTGAGTATCTACTGCTTAACGATGACAGCTGTTCTGCCTTTCAGTCATTGTTCAAGATTGATCCAGAAATGTTCATTTATTTCCATAGTTAAATCAATGATTTAGACGTTACTGTCTGGGCATTCAAATACAGGATTACCAGCTTTTTACTTGGTATCTTCCTCCATAGCTGCAGAAGAAATAGTTTATTTTTTTGTACTATGCTATTTAAATTTGAGAAAACAATTGAAAGGATAATGAGGCAGGAAAGCTATCTCTTCTCTTCCAGGCAATGAAGAGAAACCACTTGGCAGGTAAAACATCCTGCTCTAGAAATCCTGGTGGACTCATTGATTTACAAAGATCTATTCAGTTCTCACAGTTATTAAACTAGAGGTATTAAGATTTGGAGGACATCACCAACTGCTCTTAATCACAGTGCAAGAAATCAATTTCTCTGTCATATTTTTTTCTGACTTTTTAAATAAATAATCAAACCTTTACTTCCGACTGTGGGTTAGTAACCTAATAACAGAGAAAGTATCTTAGGCTTCTCAAATTCAGTGATGTTTGTGAATATATTTTGCCTTTAAGTATTTGATCTTCAAAGAATACAGAAATATTTTCCTTTTGTTTTTTAAATCAATTCTCTAAAATTTTTGCTTCCCTTATTCATTGTTAATTTTGCCCTGATGAGGATTTTTTCATAGATAGATTATAATAGTATAGTTCAGTTGGAAGGTACCTACAACAATCGTCTACTGCCTGACCACTTCAGGGCTGACCAAAATTTAAAGAGTATTATTAAGGGCATTGTCCAAATGCCTTTTAAAAACTGACAGGCTTGGGGCATTGACCACCTCTCTAGGAAGCCTGTTCCAGTGTTTGATTACCCTCTTGGTAAAGAAATGTTTCCTAATATCTGGTCTGAACCTCCCTGCACTCAGCTTTGAACCATTCCCAAGTGTTCAGTCACAGAATACCACAGATTATTCCCATAAATAGAAAAGATGCTAATTTTTGTATTGCAATTGTACAAACTTGTTCAAAAAGCATTTTCTGTGTTAATTTGTTCCATCAGAAACTTTTTTTGTCTTTTTTAGTCTATATCTATTGCTCAGTACTAACCCTTATATTATGCCCTCTCAAGCATTCCCCTTGCATACAAAGTTCTCAAAAAACCCCACTTTCAAATATGTTTCGGTGTTCCTAGTGATAAAAACAGATATCAGGATGTTCAAATAACTTACAATATGTTTTTATTTAATGCAAAGAGATGCAAGAAAAAAATCATGTTGACCTCTATCCAGTAAGTTTTCTCAAGAACATTGCAAAATACATGTAAACTCCCTTGGCCTATTCAACCTTTCCAGATGCATCATTCTCCTGGGTAGCTAGACAGATGTAGAGTCAAGTGGGAGTGCAGATAAGCATGTTGGATACCACCACTGTACTGAGGTATGTAGGCCTCCGTATGGTAAGGTAAATGCCATCATTTTTTCCCCATTTTAAAATTTCCTATGAGGAAAGTTTAGTCCTATCTGTGGTTACAGAACAAAGGAAACGTATTCTCTATATGCATTTTATAAAACAGCTCTTTCATTTAATCATTTATGGGATGTTATAGCTGGAATACATAAAATATTACAATATTTATTTCTCCTTCAGAATAGCTCGTTTTTTTTTCTCATCTGTGGAAATGACTTGCTCTTACTGAGTAGTTTCTGATCTACATGTCTGTATTCTGTGGTTACTTTAATACCACAGTATATCAGATTCATTTTCATGAACTAGAAAGTATAGGAAATCCAGAGAGAAAAATATTACCGAAGTAGCTTGATTAAAGAGTGCTGTAAGAAAAATTGATGTGCATGCTCAAAATGGCACTCGGAGAAAATGTTGTGTTAAAAGCAAAAAAATACTGCTTTGGTGTTTCAGAGGATGTAAATGTGAGATTCTTTTATCAGAATTAATTTAGTGTCAGATATACTTATCTATAATTGACATTATTTTGAAACTTTGTCATATATTCTCATTTCTTTATCTGCATTTGTAACACATCTTTCCAAATATCAAATGGTCTGGATTTCATTCTCAGTAAAATTCCCTGTCCTCCTGCAGTTATTGCCAATGTCAAAATTAGTGCATAACTAGATCACCATCACGCTAAAACAGCTGATCTACCCTCTTACTGGGACTTAGAGCTCTTGTTTGTCAGAGCTATGGGGACTGTGGTGCTGATGGTCTCACAAAACATTGGGATTATACCTTTTCCCCTCCACCTGTGAATTGTCTTCATGCCTGGAGCATTTACATAGCATGCAATGAGTTTCCAGTGGAAGAAAAGTCTTCACTGGATGGAAAGATAGAGCAGAAATATTTGGAGAATGGGAGCATTTCCACAGCAGTGACTGAGTGCGGGTGAACTTGGTAAATCTATGCAAACTGACTAGAGGGGATGATGGGTATCACCTTCTCTTGCTTAGGACAAACATATTTCAGAAACAGGTAATTAGTTTCTTGTTCAAGCACTTGCAAACCAACTTCCTGGTCCTTGGTCATGATATCCTGGGGTCGGGTCTTGAACTGAGGTAGAAGTTAATTTATTTTCTCTGTCTGGCCAGATAACTCTGCTTGCTTGCATCCTTTCCCCAGGCAGGCAGATTTACTTTTTTTTTTTTTTTTTTTTTTTTAACCTCAAGGCCATTGTGCAGTTCTCTGTAGGTAGGTAGGTAGTAGGTAGGAGTAGGTAGTAGGTAGGAGTAGGTAGTAGGTAGGAGTAGGTAGGTCTAGTACTTACCCATAAACTTTGACCAGTTCAGAGCATTGATCCTTATTTTACCTATTCAGCTAAAACCATAGAAATCCATTAAGCATTCATTAATTTCCTGCTTTGCTTCTTGATCTTCAAAACCCCAAAAAGGGCCCTAATATCCAAGGGACCATACCTCCTTTTCATACAGCCCTAGTAGATATAAGGCTTGGGAATGCCCTGAGCAGTGACCTCCAGGCGGCTGCAGCTAACATCTTCTCAAGGGAAGGTGGCATCTGTGGCACCATTCAGTACAAAGTCTGACTAACATCACAGCTTAGCTCCTTTAACAACGTGGCACAATGCCAGTAGCTCTGATGATTGTAAGACAACATCTCAAAATCATTCTAGGAAATGTTTTCTTAATTGGCTATTTATCTCAGATTCTCTCTCACCCTTTCAAGCAATTGCAATGTTGCTGGAAAAGAAGAGCAGTTTTTAGAATTTGACATAAAACTCAGCATTGGGAGTATTAAGGAAGTAGTGTTGTCTTTCAAGGCTGCCAGTTGTATCTGGAGTCTTCCACAGAATCTCCACTGCCTGTCTGATAGGAGCTGACACTCATCGTGCTGCTGACATGCAGCACCATCATATGAATGATTTTTTACAGGGATATGTAACAGTTCAAAGTATGCATGTTTTTTAGATGGTGACTGCTAGGTGTCCTGTAAGTAAACTGTCTTGCCATTCAGACAAAACAACAGTTAAAACAGATGAAGCTGTGTCAATATTTCCCCATTTTTATCTAGGTTTTATGGAGTGTCTTTGAATGTCTACCTGGGCAGTACTAGCTGTGAGCTCTCTAGGGAAGATGTTTTGTCTGATATAATGGTATTTAATCTATTTTTATCACTTCTGCTCCTCATTTCAATATTTAATCAATGCCATAGTTTTGTGGTTTTGGAACATCCTGACTTACCATCATTATTCTTCTGTGGCTCTTTCTCTTTTGTTATCCAAATAGGTTTACAAGCCCACACAATTAAGCCTCACAATGTCTTCTACAAAAGTGAGGACTTTTTTTCCTCCCATTTTGCAGAAAGGGAGATCAAATGCAGAGTGATTTTGACTTGAAGATCTTCTGGACTCTGAAGCAAAGCATAGGTTCTCACTGTAGTGCTTTCCCAGTGCAACAAAGGCCTTCCAAAGATAAGACCAGCAAAGCAAGTTTGTGATCCTTTCACATTAAGCTTTCCAAGGCACTTTTACTTTGGTAACCCAACCAAATTAGTCTGGTAACAAGGG